CAAAGTTGCGGACAGAAAGCTATAAATTAACATTCAAAGGAAACCTTTCCAAAGACTCCACATGAGCTATTTATTTATTTATTTATTTATTTATTGTGTCAGGAGCAAACCAAACAGTTGTATTGCATTTTTAAACAAACAAACAAATAAAGCACAAAGTTTGCAAGCTTGGTAGTTGATTAAATGTCCTTTGACCAGTAGATGCCCACTTGGAGTGCCTCTGGTGTTACTATAAGAAGGTCCTCCATTGTGCATATAGCAGGGCTCAGGTTGCATTGCAGCAGATGGTCTGTAGTTTGCTCTTCTCCACACTCGCATGTCGTGGATCCCACTTTGAAGCCCCATTTCTTAAGGTTGGCTCTGCATCTCATGGTACCAGAGCACAGTCTGTTCAGCGCCTTCTAAGTCGTCCAGTTTTCTGTGTGCCCAGGGGGAAATCTCTCATTTGGTATCAGCCATTGATTGAGGTTCTGGGTTTGAGCCTGCCACTTTTGGACTCTTGCTTGCTGAGGTGTTCCAGTGAATGTCTCGGTAGATCTTAGAAAACTATTTCTTGATTTAAGTCGTTGACATGCTGGCTGATACCCAAACAGGGAGTAAGCTGGAGATGTCACTGTCTTGGTCCTTTCACTATTGGTTGCTACTTCTCGGCGGATGTCAGGTGGTGCAATATTGGCTAAACAGTGTAATTTCTCCAGTAGTATAGGGCGCAGACACCTCGTGATAATGCGGCATGTCTCATTAAGAACCACATCTCTTGTTTTAGTGTGGTGAGAAGTGTTCCACACTGGGCATGCATACTCAGCAGCAGAGAAGCAAAGCACAAGAGCAGATGTCTTCACTGTGTCTGGTTGTGCCAGTCAGCTTTTGTATGATATTGTTTCTAGCGCCCACTTTTTGCTTGATGTTCAGGCAGTGCTTCTTGTAGGTCAGAGCAAGGTCCAGAGTGACTCCCAGGTATTTGGGTGTGCTGCAATGCTCCAGTGGGATTCCTTCCCAGGTAACTCTCAGATCTCGGGATGCTTGTCTGTTCTTAAGGTGAAAAGCACATGTCTGTGTTTTAGATTGATTAGGGATCAGCTGGTTTTCCCTGTAATAGGCAGTAAGAGCACCTGGAGCTTTGGAGAGCTTCTGTTCAACCATCTCAAAGCTTGAGCAGTAATGGCACAATCATCAGCATAGATGAAACTCTGTCCCTTCTGGCAGTGGCTGGTCATTTGTGTAAATATTGAACATTGATGGAGCAAGCACGCTCCCCTGAGGCAGGCCGTTCTTCTGTTTCCGCCATCTGCTTCTTTGGCCCTGGAACTCAACAAAAAGTTCCTGTTTTGTAGCAGGTTTCCTATGAGGCAGTTGAGGTGGTAATCCTTCGTGATATTATACATTTTTCTCAGGAGGAGGTGGTGGTTTACAGTAGCATAAGCCGCTGACAGGTCTATGAAGAGAGCACCTGTGATCTGCTGCCTTTCAAAGCCATCTTCTATGTGCTGAGTCAGGTTCAGCACTTGCGATGTGCAGCTTTTACCCTTCCTGAGGAAAGACAAAAACTGTGGAATCAGACAGGGGTCTATTTTTTCCATAATTCTATGCCAAATAAGTCTCTCTGGAACTTTGTAAAGATGGCTAAAAAAAGATGGCATAACAAGAAGATTGGTCTATAGCTTTTTGGGTCATTACAGTCTTTGCCTGGTTTCAAGTTGCTTTCCTCCAACTTTTCAAGTTGCTTTCCTCCAACTTTTGGGGATCTGACAGCATGCAGTGCAGTTGTTCATCAGCTCCAGCAGCCAGCACCTTGCTTTTGGACCAAAGTTCTTGATTTGTTCCATTCGTAGATCATCCAGGCCAGCTGCTTTGCCATTTTTACATTTATTGAGAGCCATGTCCAGTTCAGTAGATGTAAAAGGTTCATGAAGGTTGTTCTCAATCTCTTGTTGTCTGGCTATTGGTTTCTTTCCTTCTTTGGTGGCAAGGTTGGGTTTCTCATTCTTCAAGAGTTAGTGTGCTATCTGATCTGCCTTTATGTTATCGTGGATATTAGTTTGTGAGGGGTCATTGTTCAACCATCTTAGCAGCTTCCACGCCTTCTGGCTGCTCCTGCCCTTGTCGACTTCTGTTATCAGCTTTATCTACTGTTGTTTCTTGGATTCGGAGATGGAGGACAAAATGCTCTGCGCTGCCTGAAGAGTTTGCTCACTAAATGGGTCTTTGTTGTGGTGCCTGTAATAGTTTTCCAATAAGGCAGCTGTTTCAGGAGTAATGCCCTGAATGTAGTTGTTTCTGCAGCCTCTCGGTATAGAGGCCCGTGAGCAGGTTTTCACTATTTCAATGAAGTGCTCGTATTCCTCAGGGATTGGCGCAACCGATATGATCATGTCATCTAACATGTCTGAAAATTTAGTCCAATCTGCCTTTCTGAAGTTGAATCTTCATTTAAATCGAACTTCCTGGGGCCTTATTGTTGGGAACAGTTGGCATACTATTGGTCAGTGCTGTGTGTTTGGAATTGGTGGTCCACTGATTTAGTGCATTGCTGTACAATGCTGTCACTCACAAATAAGAGGTCTGGGTTATATCCTCGGTGCCATCTCCCGCTGTTGTAGGATGGTGGGAGCTTACTATCATGAATGAGTGATAGTTTGTGCAGTTCAGACCAGGAGAGGACAGCATCTCCATTTTTATCCTCTTGAGCATAGCCCCATACATGGCTGTGGCTGTTAAAGTCACCAATTACTACCGCCCTTTGGTGCCTGTCAAAGTTCTCGGGGGAGGAGAAACAAAACTCTTCATTTGGGGGCTTGTACACAGAGGTGATGGTGATGTCTCATGACATGAGCTGTAATATTGGGTTAATCACCCTTCAATTGTGAATATAACCATGGGCCACATACTCTGCATCTCATCAGCTGACTGCTTTCCTTCCGTATCTTTGTTTATTAAATTGTGTTGACTTCTTATATGGCCTCTCCCAATCTTTTTTTTTTAATCCAGGGCTATGACCTTGTCCTGATGTTTATAGAAGCAAGTTCCATGAAGTTGTATGTCACACCTTTTGATGACAATACAATATCACATTTGTGGTCCACAGAACACTTAGCAGGTTGTCAATTACCTAAACAGGGTGGCAGTGATTTCACTACAGGGCCTAGGTAATGCTAAAATAACCCCCTCCTCCTTACTGTCTACAAGTTAAGGTGCACCTTTTGAGATGTGGCTGCATCCGCTGAAGATATATCTGCCAAAATGCCAAGCTCTCCCGGGTGTGTCCAAATGTTTCTGGGCAGAAATGGTTGTTAGTGACATCTGTCTGACCAGAAGAAACTATCCAGAATCATTACCCTGATTGTCCATTAACATGCCAGCAGTGTGTATTGTCTGAATGTGCTTCAAGGCTGCAGGCTTCACCAAAGGCCACTTTTCTCTTGCCTGCTGCCTTGACTGATCATCTTCACAAACTGATCTCAGATTTTTCACCTCCTGACATTAATGCCCACATTATTTGGAGCTGTAAAGAAAAGAACCCAGAGTTAGACTATCTCCTAATGTTTAACAGTTAGGTAGCCAACAGCTTTGTCAGCAGGGTGGTGAATGAGACCAGAACTTGAAAGGGGCTCATATTAATGAGCTGAAACATGTCTAGGCAAGGATAACCAAGATGCTGAAAGATTTGGAAGCCAAGCCCTATGAGGAGTGGTTTATGGTGCTGGGTATGTTTAGCTTGAGGAAAAGAAGGCTGTGAGGGGACATGATAGTTATGTTTGAATATTTGGAAGGACAAGGCAAGTTGATTTTGTGCTGCTCTAGAAACTAGGACAAGGAGCAATGGATTCAAATTACAGGACAAGGTATTAATCCTAAGTATTAGGAAGAAGTAATGATGGGAAGAGATATTTGGCAGTGAAATATGCTGATAGGGGATGTGATAGAGTCTCGTTCTCCAGAGCTTTTAAAGTAAATGCTGGATGTTCCTATGTCGAGAGTCCTTTGATTGTGTGTCCTTACATGGCAGGGCTTGGACTGGGTGGCCTTTGTGGTCCCTTCCAACTCTAGGAATCTATGGCCCTTCTGTTTATCCCAGATTATCTGGCAGTGCGGACTCATATAATCCAAATTAAAGCAGAAAACCCGGAATCAGATCCTGGGCTATAGGGCCTGCCTGGAAGGGCCCAATGATTCATCTAGAGTGGTAAACCTCGGGGCTGCAGTAGAATTCAGCACCATGGACAATTCCTTGAAGGTGCCGACTGAGCCCTATCACTCTCCCACCCATACCAAACCCATTGGCTGAAAGAAGATCAGCCAAGCTTTTTAAATCGAGTACACTGATGCCTCATGGAGGTCCCTTGCCCGGCTGGTGCCCAAGTGAGTCACCCAGGCTAGTTTCCCTGCTCACTGGGCCATGATGTGAATCTTCCTATTAGGCTGGAGAGAGAGGAGAGATGAGGAGATCCTGAGGGCCTTTTCTCTTTCTCTCGTTCCTGTAAGGTAGTGATGGGCACCGCACGGGCAAGACTTCCCCAAAACGGTTCTCCCCCTCCCCGGCTGTTCCGAACCGCTGGGGTTGCTTAGCAACGGCCACCATTGCGCTGCTGCGGGTCCTCCTCTCTTGCCACCAAGCGCAAGGAAGGCTCCGAGGAAAGGGAACGGGGGGGGGGGGCCGCTGGGCGCTGGGCAAGGGGGGCTCCGCGGGGAGCGCTCCCCCAAAGCAGGCGGGCAGTGCCTGTGCCTCCCAGGGAGGCGGGTGGAGGGAGCCAGCTTCCCGAAGCCCGGTCGGAACCACGCATGCCTTGAAATCTGCGGCTGCAGAACAGCGCATCGTTTCCACTTTGACCTCCGGCTTGAAATCCCGAGGCTGTGCCTCCCTTGGCACCCCCGCCCCGCCCCCCAATCCGCCGTGCGCCCCCCTGCCCCGCTTCTCGTTTTTCCCGGGCGGAGGGCTGCCTGGCCTCGGGAGCGCGCCTCCGCGGGCCCCTCCGACACCCACCGCCTCCCTCCCTGCCTCCCTCCCTGCCTGCCTGCCTGCCTGCCTGCCTCCCTCGCCATTCGCGTCCCAATTCAAGCCTCTCCGTTTCGGCAAAACAGTCCAAGCGCTTGATGCCAACCTGGAGGGTTAACCCCTGCCTCCCCAGAGCCGAATATTAAGCAGACAGCTGGGAGCGCGCCAGCCCGAGCCATGTCTCCTGGCCAGGCCAGCCACGGGACCTGGTAACGGGAGGCAGGGAGGGAGGGGGAGAGCGGCGCGGCGACACCCGAACTACAACTCCCGAAATCGAGAAGGAGACGTCTCCGGAAAGGAAGGCGAGGGGGGAGGGCGGAGATGTGTGCGAGGAAGGCGAGAGGGAGCATGAGAGCCAGTCCTCCCCAGCCAGCCAGCCTCTCCGCGCTGGAGCCTTCCTCTCCTTCCTTCAAAATGATCCTGCGGACGCTCCTGCTCTGCTCCCTCATCCACGGGTAAGCCACGCTTCGTCTCCCGCGATGGGGAGGGCGCGGTGGGTGAGAAGGGGCACAACGGGGAGATAGGGAGGACGCTCGCGGGGCCCCCTCCCCTCCCCTCCCCGCCGCTTTCTATTGCGCTTCTTCTGCCTCTGGATAGATGCAATGCCTACTCATCATCATGATGCCCCACAAGGGAGGAAAAGAAGGGTTGGATCCAAAGGGGGGGGGGGGGGTTGTCGGGGAGGGGAGATGCCACCCCCTCCCTGTTTGCAGTGCGCCCCTGGCTTCTTTACGCAGACCCCGCTTGGGCATGTGGTGCCTCTAGGCAGCCATAGCTGTCTCTGCCTTGGGAGAAAGAGAGAGAGAGAGAGAGAGACCTTAAGGAGAGATGCCGGCGTTCTGCACAGCCTGGCCGTGTCTTTTGTTTTGCCTCCTGGGCCCAAGGCACCTACCTCAAGGGATTCCACATTCCTCTCGCAATGAGAGCGGGGGGGGGGGGGTGTGCATGGGCAGTGATGGCATGCAGAGGCGGCTTTTGAGTCAAAGGAGGTGCACATCTGGGATCCCTGGCTCCCAGCCCACAGTTGGAGCTCTCTCCTACGCAAATGCTGACACTGAGGTGGCAAGGGGCCTCTTCTTTCCTTCCTTCTGTCTCTCCCCCCCCCCCCCGCTCCTCCAATGTGCCTCTGTGTGTTTGCATGGCAAGAATGCAATGCCAGGGCAGCTGGAGGGAGAGGAGGAAGGATGCTCAGAAACACTGTGGTGGGGGATGGAATGGGAAGCAAGGATTACCGCAGTGGTAAGTAAGCACAGGGCTGCTGAACTGGTGTCTCCCCCCAAATAGCTGTGGCCTGAGCAGGTTGGAGAGGCCAAGGTAGGCAAGCATTTGCCCCTTGCGTCCTCCTGAGAGCCTCCTCCAACATGACATAAGCTCCATTTTTGGTGTATTCATGGGGGCACAAGGATCCTCCTCTTTTTCTCATGTATTATTTGGGAAATGCTTGTACAATCACTTCCTGCACTCACTTCCCTTTTATCCACTCCCTCCACAAAGAAAGGGTGATATTTATCTTGCTTCTAATATTCTCCTTGTTGTGATTTTTCATAGGATACAAACAAAGGACATTGCAATCCTTACCTTATTTGCCTCTTATTCTCACCAACCTAAATGGTGGGGGACCCTGAAACAAAAATGAAAGTACTGCTTTACGAATAAATCCAAGAGGGAAAAAATAGATATGTGAATATTTGGAAAAGGGGTGCTTTTGATCTCTGGTTGGTGTTTGTAACTATTTCCAGCAGAATATTCAAGATACCTAGGCCTTCAACATCTGGGCTCTCTTTTGATTTGGATGTCTCAACTTGAATTTATTTTAAAATTACCACTGTTATAACTTCTCTTTTATCTTTCTTTTCATGATGGGAAATGTTCACATTTCAGCATGCCAGTCTAAAAGAAGAGTGTATATATTAAAACAGCTGCTTCTGTGACCATTTCAAAACTTTTCCATGAGAATGACAATAAATCTCCTGAAAAGAGCTGTCTTTTAGAGATGTAGGCCTTAAGCAACAGCTACCATCAGTTCAGCTTCGATGAAAACTTGTTGAAGCCATGCATTTCTCAAAGTCATTCCTTTCCATTTGAACTGCAAAATTATCCCCAAATACCATTTTAAACCCAACCAAACATGTTATTCTTTGAGATTCTATTTGAAAACTATTCTTTCACTTCTTGTCATTGTATTGACTTCATGTCTTGGGAAATGAGGAGGTGCTTTGTATTGAGCCATCTTGCGATTGTAGAGCATTTCAACAACGTGCTTTAAAATATCAAGATGTATCTTTACTAAAAATTATGTCAATATAGGCACAAGCTTGATCTACCTGAGGCAAGAGTGAGGTATCATTACCAAGAAGACCCTTTCTTCAGTCCCCACCTGTCTTGCATCACATAGTGTGGGCAGCCAGGGATCCTTTCACTATGCACAATTATAGCACTGTGATCCCATCTTCTGATCAGGCCTCAAGACAGAGCTGATATGGATTTTGGAAGTCACTAAAATGGAAGTTGCACAGTACAGGAAGAAATATCAACAGAGCAATGTACTAATGTATTTTATTAATCTAATATGATGGCTACCAGAGGATGGATTACCATGCACAATTTATCTGTACTCCTGTGGGACTTCAACACCTGGGAAAAACTGCATTGTAAAACTAACATTCATATGGGCCTTCATGTAAATGATATATCTATGTTCCTCCAGAGTCCAAACATGATACTTTAGACGGAGTTCCACAGACTGTAAATCTAGACAAGACAGAGGCACTCCTGGTCAGTTGGCAGGTGGATTGGGGTGTGGGATTACAACCTGTGTTGGATGGAGTCACACTCCCTCTGAAGACACAGGTTCGCAGTCTGGGGGTGATCCTAGACTCATCATTGACCCTGGAACCCCAGGTGGCAGTAGTGGCCTGGAGCACCTTTGCACAATTAAAGCTTGTGCACCACCTGCACCCATACCTTGAGACACCAAACTTGTCCATGGTAGTCCATGCCTTAGTCACATCCTGCCTAGCCTACTGCAATGCTCTCTATGTGGGGCTGCCTTTGAAGACAGAAGCTTCAACTGGTTCAGCAATCATCAGCTAGATTACAAACTGGAGCCCTCTACAGGGAGAGATCCACTCCAATGCTATGGCAGCACTACTGGCTGCTAGTCTTCTTCTGGGTTATACAAAGTGCTGGTCATTACCTTCAAATCCCTAGATGACTCAAGTCCAGGCTATTTGACTAACCACATATCTGCCTACAAACCAACTTGGGCACTGCAGTCATCTGAGGAGGCCCTGTTCTCGGTTCCACTCCATCTCAAGTATGGCTGGTGGGAATGAGAGAGAAGGCCTTCTCCATGATTGCCCCCTCCTCTGGAACTCCCTCCCTAACAAGATAAAGGTGGCCCCTTCCCTTCTCTCCTTCAAAAGACAGCTCACAAGCATATGGAGAGGAGGAGGATTAGATGAAAAAAGACTATTACCACACTGCTGATTGGAAAGTATAAATGCATTCGGACCTTGTTAGACCACATTGGCCCATTTAACATCATTGCCCATACAATCATTGCACACATCTATGAACCTTCATGCTGCTTTTGTAAATTAATTTGGATGCCTTATGTTCACATTTTATGTTCGTTATAATTTTTTGATAGATTATGTTTATTTAAGTTATAATTGTTATGTTTAAGGTGCCTTTTATGTAGGGTTATTCTGGGTTATTATATTTGTACTTATTGTCATTGAGGCATTGAATGTTTGCCTTATTGTTTGTTGGAATCAGCCCTACATCCCCAAGGGAAGATAGGACAGAATATAAATAAAGTATTATTATTATTATTATTATTAGCTATTTTTCACAGGTGTATAGAACACTGGAATAAAACATACGGCCCAGCTCTCTCTCTCTCTCTCTCTCTCTCATATCTTAAACAGGTATGACAAATTCACCACACCATTCTAAAGACAGAAAATTACTGGAAGTGTTTTTTCTAGGGTTGCCAATGAAATTAAAGGGGGTTCCTGTACTTTTAATAGTTGTGTCGGAGAAGAAAAATCAGCAGTTGTTGCTTGTCATGCAACCGGACAACAAACAATACTTGTTGAAATTTCTATACTTGTTGAAATTTCTATACAACCTACAAAAATCCAAGAGACCTCTATAGTTTTCACTCTGAAAACCCAATTTCCTTGTACATTGTTACGTATCACATTCATTTCCCAGGGATTTGGTTTCCATGAAGACTGTCCAATTGAAGCAGGAGTGAATTGTGTCTTTCTTTGAAAATATAGCATGTGTTTACTTATGTTATTTGTATCTACCTTTCTGACAAAAGATGTTTTAAAAGACCTTCCTTACACACACAAGGCACTTGCATTTAAAGGGGACTGAATTGAGAGAAGGCCCTTCCCAAAGATCATCAAATCTAGCAAGCTTTTAAAAGGATAATACAGTCTTTCAAATTATTGGTTCCCATTTCACGTAGGGCCTTTTTGGACATAACCTGCACTTTGAAACAGTGGCAGAAAGCTATTGTTTACAAGGGAGGCATGTGCTAGTCAACAGCCTGGCCATCATGTAATGGACTATTTGACATTTACAAATATTTTCACATCCAGCCTTATGAATTGCACGAAGCAAGCTGATGTGTTTGTATTCAAGTTATTTATGTGTGTAAGGTATTCAAGAGGATACAACTACAAAAACACATTGGAACCTCACCTGTGCTCTCAAATCTCCAGCTGCACCTTCTTCACTTTCACAAGGAATGAATGAATGATGCAGTGGCTTCATTAGAGTTCATGTTACTTGCTGCAGTAACTCATGGTATCACTCCCATTGAACTCCTCCTATACCAGACCATACAGAATCCTTAGTAATGTCTTTTGCATTATTGTTTCTCATTAATCATAATTCCCATATGTAACTGAATGTAGTGACAAAATCAGTGACTAACAAACAGAAACTATGACATGTGTTCAGAGTCTGTGGAGACAAAACTGTGTCATTTGAAACATCATTACAAATTGGGAAACAATGATAGGTCTGACTGAAGTGCATGCACATTAGAAAGTTCAAAGAGTATGGAGTTTTAACCATTGTCTCCCATAACAGAATATTAACCAGATACCTGGTTAATATTGATGAAATATGTGTTCAAGGCCTATAAAAGATGTTGTGCTTATATTTACCTACAGGTTTATTTTTTTTCTATAAAAGTAATACATATTTGCTAAAACACTGCACAATAATGTATAGTCATTTTGTGTCACCCCCTCTGATAGTTTTGCCCAGTGCAGACTGTGTTTCCCACACCCATCTAGTGATGCCAATTGGTCCCATGTAAATGAGAAAGGAGAACTATTTGGCAGATTTTCAGTTTTAAATTGAGTATGCTGTAAATAACTCCAGAGGTTTTGGAGATCTTTTGCTGGCAGATCGTATGCTGTGTTGGGGG